GCCCGTCCACCCATCTACCCTCCCATCCACCCATCTACCCATCTATCCACCCATCTACCCACCCATCCACCCACCTACCCACCTATCCACCCATCTACCCATCTACCCTCCCATCCACCCATCTACCCATCTACCCTCCCATCCACCCATCTACCCTCCCATTCACCCACCTACCCACCCATCCACCGATCTACCCACCTATCCACCCATCTACACTCCCATCCACCCATCTACATGCCCATCCACCCATCTACCCACCTATCCACCCATCTACCCTCCCATCCACCCATCTACCCACCTATCCACCCATCTACCCTCCCATCCACCCATCTACCCACCTATCCACCCATCTACCCACCTATCCGCCCATCTACCCATCTACCCGCCCATCCACCCATCTACCCACCTATTCACCCATCCAACCATCTACCTGCCCGTCCACCCATCTACCCTCCCATCCAACCATCTACCTGCCCGTCCACCCATCTACCCTCCCATCCACCCATCTACCCATCCATCCACCCGTCTACTCGCCCATCCACACATCTACCCAGCATCCACCCGTCTACTCGCCCATCCACCAGTCTACCCATCTATTTACCCATCTACTCACCCATCCACCCATCATCAACTCATCTTCTCAGCTACTCATTCCTCCTTTCCCTCTTCCTCTCTCTTGTTCTTTTCATCCATCTGTCTATCCATTAATCCATCCACCTACCTGCCCACCAATTCAACCATCCATTCATCCACCCATCCATCACTCATCCACCCATCTATCCATCTACCCACCCCTCCCTTATTTTCTCTCCAGAACTCTCCCTTCATTCCTCTCTCCCTCTTTCTGTCCATCCACTTACCCATCATTCATCCACTTGCAAACATGTATTAAGCATCTCCATCTACCATGTCCCAGGTCTACTCATGACGCTGGCAGAAATGAATGAAACCAGCTCAGCCTCTGGTCCTGACCTCACTGGGAAGAGAGACAATGAACATACCCCCTTCAGTGTGACACCTTCTGGGGGGCCTGGGGAGAATGATACTCAAGGGGCACTGACCAGAGGCTGGGACCTAAAGGCTGGGGTGGGGGCATAATTCTGGAGAGGATGTCCACAGGGAGCCAAGGTGGTGGCAGGAGCCAGTGCATGAGGGCAGACAGTGGGCGGTGAGGTGGAAAGGAGAGTGTTGCAGGCAGAGGGACAAGTGGAGGCTGTGGGGTGGGAAGAACATGCGGCACCCAGGGAGGTGTCCTTGGGGTCTAGAGAGTGACCTCAAGACCCCATGTCCTCTCTGGCGCCCAGGTAAGCCCAGCACTTGTGTGCTCCCGGGGCAGCTGTAACAATGCTCCAAGATCTGAGTCTTCAAACGAGAGATTTATTGAGGCCAGCAACTGGGCCGAGGTGCTGCAGGGTGGGCTTCCATGGGAGACTGGGGGTGGGGTGGGCATCACCTGCTCTGTTTTTGTCTCCTGGCTGCTTAGTGGCCACAGTTTCCAGATGTGTCTCTCGATCTCTGCCTCAGTGGTCGCATGGCCACCCTCTCCCTGTGTCTGTCTGGTCTCTGTCCTTGTCTCTTCCCTTACAAGGGACCTGTCATGGATTTAGGGCCCACCCTACTCAGCTGCTGGCATCTGCAATGGCCCTGTTTTCAATACAGTCACGTTCACAGGTTCAGGGCTAGGACTCCACATGCCCTTTGGGGTACAGTTTGCCCCACAACCACCCTACAGACCTGTGCCCTTCTGACAGGCTCTTTGTCACAGAGAGTAAGGAATGTTTCTGCCTCTCTGTACTTTCCTCAGAATCCTGGGGATTCCTGAGGGGGGTTCTCTCAGGACAGAACTAGAAGACAGGGTGGTGGCCAGGCCCAGGAAGGGAGGGCGCCAGCAGGCAGGCCCTCATGTGTGAGCTGCCCTGTCCTGGACCCACCTGGGACTATGGGCCATGGGGCACACCTCAGATCTGGAGGTAGGTTCCAGCAAACATCAGCTTGTGGCTTTAATCCCAGGTACTCTGCATGAAGGGCCCCAGTCACCCCAAGCAAGCCCTGGGACTTCCAAGTGTGAGCTGTCTGGGTGGCGCCTGCCACAGGTGTGGGCCAACCTGAGGGCAAAGTGCTCCCACATGATGGGGTGGGGGCACCAGCACCTTCCCTGCTGTGTTGCTTTACCCTCCTGACCACACGAACAGCAGACTTTTCAGTTTAGCTATGGTGGCAGGTGTGAGGTGGCATCACACCATGGTCTACACTGCACTTTGTTCGTAGCTAATGAGGGTCCCTATCAGGGACCCCACTGTGGTGCCTTTGGCTTTGCTGGGGCCAGGTGGGGACACCTCAGCTGTGTAGCTCTGTGGCCCAGCTGGCTATTTCCTGTGCCCCATCCCATCTTGTGTGCCCCACTCCTCCTGTGAGGGTTCATTGTGCTCTCACCAGACCACAGCCCACTGAGCTGCTAGCCCACAGCAGAGGCCACATCCGTGGGGCTGACTTCCAGCACCCTGGAGTTGTCAATGTCAGCCAGCACAGTAATTGGACCCCAGACCATCATGGTGAAGCCATGATGTTCTTTTGGGGACCAAGGATGAGAGTCATGAGGGGGTGGGGCACAAAGGCCTCCCTAGGGGTGCTGGGGAGGCCCAGATTGGGAGCAGGCTGTCATCAGGGGCCATGTTATGGGCGCTGGTTAGGGTTTCCCACCCATCGGGGCCTCCTCAAGGCTGGAGCCTGTTCTATCAGCGTCTTAAAGGACCCCTTGGTCCCAAAGCAGGTGAGAGATCAGTCTCTCCTGGAGACTGAGGTCAGGCAGTGGGCAGGTCCCCAGAGGAGGCTCTGGATGGGGCAGTGGCTGCATTCTGGGGGTGGGAGCCCACAGGGAGGGTGATGAGTGGGCATGAAGTGAAATGAAGCGGTGCTGGACTCTACAGGGAAGCCCAAGGGATGTGCCCCAGGGGGGCCTCATGCCTGGAACCCCTCGATATACCCTGCTCTGGACTTTGGGGAGGCCCAATGAGGGGATATGAGACGGCGCCAGTGACAGCTGGGCTGGGCCAAGCAGAAACGGGGCAAAGAGGCCGAGGTGGTTCTCCTAGCATGGGTTTCTTTTATTGTCCATAAGGACCCATAGGAGGTGCTGACTACGGAGACACAGACGTGGGCCACACCTGGGTTTTACACAAAGTCACTTGGCAAGGACGCAGTCAGCCCATTTCCACTCAGCAGTGACCGCGTGCAATCCTGTGGCAGCAGGCTGGGATTTCCCACCAGCGTCAAATTCCCATCCCTTGTGGCCTGTCACTTGCAGGGGACGGGAAGACTGGCTGGCTGGGCTGCCTGAATAGCTCTGAAGGAACACATCTACCCTTCCCTCTGACAGCTGCCCACAGGACTGGCTCCCCCTGACACCTGGCTAATGGTTCCTGTGAACACCAGCACACAGGTATGCAGAAACTAACCTTCGATTCTCGAGCTCATTTGGACTCACAGGTAATAGGATTTGAAAGCCATTCACTAGCACAGAAAGTGTTGCCGATGTGACCTGTATCAGGGGAAATATAATTCCAGTGGGTCCTTCCAGCTCCAGGCCAGCCGAGGCAGCCTGTGTGTCATGGGGAAGGGACACGCTTGGCTTAGAGCATGCTGTCTTCTGTGGCCTGGGGCCCATGGCAGGTAGGTGGGAGGCAGCCTAGGCTGGTCCACTGGTGTGATTCTGTCCCAGAGATGAGCAGCAGGACAGGACTTGGTGTGTTAGCAGTTTCTCCCACTTCTCTTCTGCACGGTTAGACAACACAGGGCACTCGGCTGTTTTTAACACAAACAATATCACTGAAGCAGGAAGCGACTGTGAGCACAGGGGTTCTTGGTACAGCCTATCTACAGGACTGTGGCCCCTCCTCGGAACACAGGGTGGCAGCCCAGCCTGAGCTCCATGTGGCCACGGGAGTGGGATGGGAAGGAGCCCGCCTCACACAGAACACAGGACAGACACGGCGAGGCGTCCCTCCTGTGGCACAGAAAGGGTGTAAACAGTCGGAAGAGAAAAGCCTCTTGCTTTGCTTCTGTTTTCTCGGTAAAGCAGAGGTTACAGGGCAGCAGTGGCCCTTCTTGTTCCAGACCTAGACCCCTTCTTTGTCCAAGCTTCTCTACGTGGGATGACCCCGAGGTCCTCTTTTCCAATCCTGCTACACCACAAGCCAATGGCGGAGCTGAAAGAAAACAGCGTTTATTAAGAAGTGAAGAGAGCGGCTGCATGGACAGAAGGGGCTCCTGGGCAGACGACACTCCCCTTCTGGTTCACAGTGGCCTTGGGAGGCTATGGCTGTGGACCAGCAGCCCTGACAGACACTTGCCCACTGGGAAAGCTCATCAAGGGCACAAGAGACCCAACATCTAGTTTAAACTTCTATAAAGAAACCATTCTTGATAAAGAAAAGCACAGGTGCAGCAGGGACCAGTGGTTGCCATGTGGCCCTAGGGCAGGCCTAGCGTCAGCTGCTAGGCATAGTCAACCAGGGCCTGGCTCCAGACTACTCCCGCCAGCTCGCCAGCTCGCATGACTGGGTGCTGTCCCCCTTCCGTGCTGCCTCCTGCATGTGCCCCTTGCTCTGTGTGAACCCTGTGGGGTGAGAGCAGATGAAGGACTGCTCAGGGAGGGACCAGAGAGATGGACAGGAGCAGCTATTCAGACTCTCAGCAAATGTCACACCTGCTATTATGCAGCAGCTAGTTGGCCTATTTTTGAGCATGAGCCACTTGGTGACATTAAATGGATAGCTGTAGGTACTGCTGACCACACAGCAGGACTCTATGGCCACTCCACTGGGAGGGCCTGCAGGAGACTTCCTCAGGCCTGGGTGGGACAACCAGGCCCTGGGCCGGGGGTCTGCAGGGTGCAGAGTGGCTGAAGGAGGTGCTGGCACAGGCAGAGTCCAGGTGGAGTGGGGGTCCAGGGAAGGGAGATTGTGTGCAGGGCCTGACCAGGAGAAGCCCTGAGTCCAGCGCCCCAGGACAGCAGCTCCTGGTGATAGCAGCTCTGGGTGACAGCCCCACTTCAGACGAGTGGTGGGGGGTGCAGTGTCTGGGACCATAAGCTCAGCCCCAGCCCACAGCCACTGACAGGAGTAGAGAGTGACCCTCCCTGGAGAGAGGTGGACCTGGGGACTCCCTGCTCTCACTCACCAATGAAACAGACCAGAGACCCTAGATAGTGGTCTACTCAAGTGAGGGTCAGCAGAAGGCAGATTTTAACTGATCCCTGAGGGAGACTGCAGGGTGGCTACGTATAGACCCTGATGTGTGTGTCTCTAGAGATAGAAGACCAAATGCGCTGTCCACAGGAAGTGAGACGCTCCTGCCAGTGAAGTGTGTTGCTGTCAGGGAGAAGAGGACCGGCAACCATCCACCACACTGCACGTGTTCCCCTGAGGGGACATTGCACAGCAGGCGTCATGAACCACCTGTGCCCGGGCAGCCATATGCAGAGACATTCTGGTCAAGATGGAACAACAGGGACCGAATTCACCTCTAAAACAAGCCCCCATAAGCAAAACACATGCACCGATGGCGTTCAAGACACGTCGGACCGCACAGCCAGTGAGCCCAAGACAGTCCACCCAGTGGCCCTGCTTGCTGCTGTGAGCAGTGAGGTGCAGTACAGGAGGGGACCCAGGGAGCCGGTGGACTCCAGAGTTGAGGAGCTGGGGAAGAGAGTTGGGGAGTCTGAGGGGGCTGGATTTTGTAGGATGGAGGACCACAGGGGAGATAGCACACAGAGAGCAGACCTGCACAGGGGCCTGCAGAAGCCAGCTGAGAACATGAACATGTGGAAGAGGCTGTGGAGAGACCACCTGCGGGGCTTTGAGGACAACCTCTAATGCTCACACAGGCCATGTGCAGTGCCTGCCCTGTTGGCCAGGCTGGGAAAGCTCGTGGTTCACAGGGCATTGTATGCTGAGGTCACGAGGCCTTGCTTCACCAGGGGACAGTTAACCTAAATGCTACTCTGGTGCCACCTAACAAGCCTGAAAATGCAAGACCCCAAAAGATCAGACTGTTCTTAAGTAACTCAGCTATGTCCAGTGTGAAGCCAAAAGAATCCAGCATTGAGGAGGGTACCACATCTGGGGTGCAGTTGAAAAGTACCAGGCAAGTGAAGTAAAATGCAATCCCTAATGAGAAAAGAGGAGGAGGGGAGGGGGAGAGGAAGAAGAGGAGGGAGAGGAAGGGGGACAAGGGGGCCTAGTGAGGAGCTGTGCCAGTGGTTTGGGGGCCCAGGGCTGCCACTCTCACCACCTCCCTCATGCCATTTGCTCAGTGCTGTGTCTTGGCCTGTCTTCACTCTGCTTCTGTGTATGCTCCCAGTGTGACACACAGGCCCTTGTCAGACCCCTACTCGGGCAGGATTGTTTCTGTGGTCCCCGACGCGGCACAGGGAGCAGGCCCGTGGGAGGGCAGGTCGCAGTGGGCCAGGGCGCCCTCCCCGGCACAGCCTTCTCTGTCCTTGCCATGTTGTATGCTGAGTGCTAAGGGCAGTTAGTGGCCGTCCAGTGCTGGCTGATACTTGTGTCCTTACTGCTTGTGGGGTGAGGAGGAGGGCAGAGCAGATGAGCCCAGAGTCCGACTCAGGCTCACCTCCACCCACCAGCCCTGTAACTTGGGGTCCACTTGGGAGCCTCTCTGGGCTTCAGGGCCCAGTCGTGTAGAGAGCACAGCACAACTACCCCCATGGTGACTCGAGTCACTGTGTCTCGAGTGTTCACTCTGTGGCCCAACAAGATGCCTGCTCTATGGAGTACAAGGACCATGTGTGACATGCACATGCACATGCACATGCACTCAATGGCCCCAGGTAGGAGCAGTAAAGGCCTAGCATGACCACTCTCTCTCACCAGAGCCTCCCCGTTCCCTGCAGTCCTGATGAACACTTAACTGCCCTCCCCTCCTGAGCAGCTCCAGAACCCTGTCTGGTCTCCGGCACCATTTCCCTAGTATCCACTCTGAGGTGGGTGGTCCCTGCTGGTGCTCAGACTGGCTCAGCCTGCCCGCTCAGGGTGTTGCTGCTGTGGGCTGGACACGTCCAGACCTGTGTCTTTGCAGGGATGTGGCCTTCATGTGGTGTCTGTGAAGATGCGCCTCCAGGAGGCCCGTGACACCCCCCTCCTTCTTTTCTCCTCTGTGCTCATCTTCCCTGACACTATGGCCTGCCACATTCCCGATCTCAGTGTAGGGCCCTGCAGAGTGGCCCCTGGCCAGAGCCCAGACCATGTGGCACGCAGGTGCTCACGGGCCACCTGTTGACAGACTGAGCCTAAGCCATCTGCATGCAGCTTCCCAGCTTTCTGAGGGCAGCAAGAAGAGTGGGGCAAGGACACTGCTTTTGGGGTCATTCTGGATTCTCCCGCTGGGGGCCCCCTGGGGAAAGCAACCTCACCGTAAACTGGCGCACCTCCCCTTGGTCCACCAGCTCTCGGTCCTTCTCGGGCGTGATGGCATAGGCCAATTTCTGAAAGAGAGCAAGACAGTTGGTGCCAGTGCTTACTTGCAGTGCCCCCACCGGCTCACACCTCTGGGGTGAAGGGGCTCCCCTTGGGGTCAATACCAGCACAGGGCAGGAAATTGGGGAGTGAGTCCCCATTCAGAATAAAAGTGGTTGTGGAGACAGCTTAGTTTCTATCACCGCGTGGGGGGTGCTGAGTGAGAGAGCACCCACACTCGGGGGATAGCCCAGGGTCTCCAGGGTCCTGCTTTCTGCCACATGCCAGCCCTGGGACGTGAGCCTATCTCCCTCCACCACCTGCTGTGACTCCCAGTCCTCCTAGAGCAGGCAGCATCTTCCAGGAGCTCACACTCGGGACCAGAAATCCCTGTCTCTCATGGAAGCCAGTGTCCCCTTCCTGGTAATGTAGGGTGTGGCCCTACATTACCTTGCTGCCACAGGCCCCCCATCAAGGCTCTGTACTCACCTGGGTCCCTATTCCTAGTGTGTCTTAGGCTCCCCACAGGGACTGCCCGGCCACTTGCTCTTCTCTGCTGGGTCTGAAGTGGGGCCCCTGCGGGGGGTCACTCACAGCCCTCCTGCAGCCTGAGGGTCAGTAGCCTGGCCACACACTGTGCATCGTCCTGGCTTGGCCGCATTGCTGAGGGCCAGCTCTGCACCAGCCTGGGGCACCTACCACAAGTTCAAGCCCAGGGGACACAGTGGCCCTTAGGCAGGATCCTTGGACCTAGCCAGGGTACAGAGATGGGGCTTCTCTGCCCATGGCCAAGACTGTTTTGAACAAAGACTGTGGGGTTAGAGCACAGAGTGGCTTCTATGAGCTCCCAGGGTGGGCTCTGGTGAGGGGGCTGTTCCTTCCAGGAGGACTGCATCCTGAGTCTTCTTGGAGTCACAGAGCCAGGTCACCAAGCAGGGCAGAACCGAGACAGGGAAGGGAACGTGCCTCACAAAGGCCCCAGAGCTGCCCTGCTCAGCCAAGGTGGGCTGATGGTATAAGTGTGTTCTCATTACATGCACAGAAACACATTCAGACATATGTGTGGGCACACACGCAGACTCAGACACACACGACACCCTCCCCCCATCCCTGCCGTGTGGCCACCTCTACTACCTCCTCTTGGCTGAGGATGAAACAGGCAGGAAGAGATCCTGCGGTGTGGACACTACCAGAGCCCTCTGTGACCTCTCAGTCAGAGGAAGGTCAGGAGAAGTGGCCTTGTCCAGATACCCACCTCTCTGAAGGACCCGGGCAAGCTGCAGAACTTGTAGGCTGCATAGATGGGCACCATTGCCATGGAGGACGTGGCGATGATCCAGCCCAGTGCGTTGGCCCAGTCAGGGAAGATGTAGGCACCATAGTGGGGGGGCCTGAAGGTCACGATGCTGACCACGACTACGAACTGAAACCAACGGACATGGGTCAGGCAGTATGTCCAGGGAGGGCCTTGGAGTCTGGCTCTGCACACGCCAGAATCTAGCCAGGCTAAGGTGAGGCGCTCTGGGCGTCTTGGGTGTCTGCCCTGCCTTGGGACATCCTCCTCCTCAGACAAGGCCTCTTCCCTCCCGCCCTGTTCTAGCCTATCCTGCCCTGTTCTAGCCTTTGTTGAAATCAGAGCATGACAGAGCAGGATGGCACCACCCAGTTCACTGACTCGATGACACAGCTGTAGCCCATGCAGCACCCAGGGCAGTCTGGGCTGAGTGTCGTAAACTCAGAGCCACCACCATCGTAGTGACCTGCCCCAAATGTGGGGGGTGGCGCTTATGGGGACAGAAGCATTCTCTAGAGCAGTGTTTTCAACATTTTGTATCTCACAGGAAACTTCTACCCACACTTAAATTATACTCATCAAAAAGAAGAATAAAAGAGTGTACTTGGCTCGGCGCCTGTGGCTCAAGTGGCTAAGGTGCCAGCCACATACACCTAAGGTGGCGGGTTCGAATCCAGCCCAGGCCCTCCAAACAACAATGACGGCTGCAACCAAAAAAATAGCCAGGCATTGTGGTGGGCGCCTATGGTCCCAGCTACTTGAGAGGCTGAGGCAGAGACTCGCTTGAGCCCAGG